AGCGGCATTCCAAAGGTGTCAGCACATAGATGACAGAAAAAGCAACAATATAGCAGATTTTTCGATGACACTAAAATAGACCGTCAGATAAATTCTTATAGAAACTCTAGATCGCTAAAACAAGATCCGGTCGGAGAAGTGGCAAACAAAAATTTAATATGGGGAAAACACAACTGCCAAGGCATTTAAGAACATGAGAACATAAGAAAAGAGGAACACTTCAGCAGGCCTACTGGCCCATGTGAGGCAGGTCCAAGTCACCTCCCAGCTTCAACCAGTGACCCACCTAGTCACGTCAAGTCAGGTCACATCCACTTATGGAGAGACCATGGGATATTAGACCTATTAGCACAAGCTAGTCAGGTCCAACTCACACCCACTCACACCCGTTAATGTATTTATCCAACCTATTTTTAAAACCACACAACGTCTTAGCTTCTATGACGGTACTCGGGAGTTTGTTCCACTCATCCACAACTCTATTACCAAACCAGTGCTTTCCTATATCCATCCTGAATCTGAATTTTTCCAACTTAATACCATTGCTGCGAGTCCTGTCTAGGCTAGATATTTTTAGTACACTATTTACATTTCCTTTATTTATTCATGTTTTTCATTTATACACCTCAATCACATCTCCCTCTAATTCTACGCTCTGTAGAGAATACAGATTCAGGGCTCTCAGTCTGTCCTCATAGGGAAGATATCTGATACATCAGGTCAACTTCGTCATCCTCATTTGATCGTTTTCCAGTGCGTTTAAATCTATTCTGTAATACAGTGACTAGAACTGTGCAGTATAATCTAAATGAGGCCTAACCAGGGATATATAGAGTTGAAGAACAACCTGAGGACTCTTATTATTTATGCTCTTTGATATGTAGCCAAGGATTCTGCTCGCTTTATTGCGAACTCTCATGCACTGTTGTCTTGGTTTTAGATTATTGCTAACCAGAACTCCCAAATCCTTTTTGCAGTCAGTAATATTAAGATCCACATTATTTGGTTTATATGTGGCATGGTTATTTTCTTGTCAATGTTTAAAACTTTGCATTTTCTATATTAAACTGCATCTGCCACTTCTCCGACCACTGCAACAGTCTATTCAGATCTTCTGGAGTGGTCTAATGTTCTCATTAGAATGAGTTAGGTGACCTAATTTGGTGTCACCAGCAAACTTGTTTATATCACTATTTATTCCCTCATCAATGTCATTTATATAAATTGTGAACAACAAAGGGCCCAGTACTAAGCCCTGTGGAACACCACTCATGATGCGCTCCCACTCTGATTTCTCCACATTGATGCAAACTCTCTGCAACCTATCTGTTAACCACTATATAATTTAGATCTCAGTCATTCTGGATGCGAAGAAGTTTTAGGTGTTCTGGTTAGCAGTAATCTAAAGACAAAGCAACAATACATAAATGTTCGTATTAAAGCAAATAAATTTTTAGCTTCATTTCAAGAATTATAAATAATGGAAGTCCTACATAATTCTGGTCTCCATATTGCAGAGTGGAAAAATGAACTAGAAAACATAAATAGAAAGATGACAAAGTTGGCCCCATATATCAAAAATCTTTCATTTGAAGATACAGTAATGTGCAGATTAATTGGGACAATAGTGAATTTTGTGATTATCTCGTGTCTTAGTCTCTGGCTTAATTAATGTAGTTTGGGTTCTTTTCTTTTCGGAAGAGTTTACCACTGACTTCTGGTAACCATCCAGCTGTGGTGTTACTGTGCGACTCTCGCCAGTCCTTCAACAGGTGTTGTTCTGTATAATTATTCTTGAGAGTTCTGTGAGTGAATGTGATTTCGTCAAATTCTTCCCTTCTTTTCATGATTACTGCTGAAACTCATAATGGGTGTTACACCTAGGAAGCGTGCAAGTATTGAAACTCTTAGAAAACATTAGCTCTGAGGAGCACTGCTTCAAGGAAGATGTGGAATGCAACGCAAGAGAATACCTCACAATGACAAGGCTATCTTAAATAATAGTGTGAAGGATCCCAAGAAAAAAAGCAAAGCTCTGTAGAGACATATGGCTCCCTGAAGGTAGCAGAACTGCCAGAAAGCAGGTAAAGAAACAATTATCGATTGTTGAAATGAAGTCAAAACTGTTGCGAAGGGCACTTGATCATAAAGCATAGATGACAGACGAATGAAGAAAAGTTATATTTTCAAATGAGCCACACTTTGAAGTACTTGGGTATAGATCAGTGGTAGTGAGATGGAGCAAAGGAAAACCTCTTCAAAATGGACTCATTCAGCAAGAGCCAAAATACCCACCTAGGAATGTCTTGGGGTAGTTTTAATGCTAAATACCCAGGACAGCTTGTTGTTGTTGAGGGAACAAAGAACAGTGAGACATACAAGACACTCCTGGCAACTCATTTGCTTCCCGTTGTGGAAAGACACTTTACTGATGAAGAGAGTGGGCTAAGCGTTTTAAATTGGCCTGGAAACTCTCCCGACCTCAACCCAATTGAGAATTTTGGGGCAATATTCAAACGCATGATCGCGAAACAGGACTATTCAGCTATGGAGAAGCTAATTGCTGCTGTTATTAGGATCTTTCACCATGACGAAGAACTTACTAAAATGTGTTCAACATTGGTTAATTCTATTCCAAACCATTTAGCAATGCTCGTAAAAGCAAAAGGTAATCATATCTCTTAATAAATAAAGTATTTGTCATATCAATGCCTTGTATTTTTCAAGTAAAGAATAATTTTCCAAATAAATGTAATATATCATCGTTGTTCAGATTAATATGCACACTACTGAAGATATACAGAGGACACATATCAATGGAATATAATACCGACGTCGTGTATATCATAATCTTGCGGTATTGATAAATGAGAAACTTGTGCAACGTTTGAGTTTCTTAATTCCGGTAACATTTCGATGGAAGAGGAGGAGGAGTTTGAGGTAATCAGTCACTCAGCCTTGAGTCGATGTGTTCGGTTCATCAGTCATACTGAAAGTGAGGTCAACTCGCGGAGATGATGTACCGCAAGCGAACGAAGTGAAAGAGTGTTAGGTTGAGTCACCAGTGAAAAAAACCCAATTTTGAAAGTAGGTCCTGCCAATAGGTTAGACAAGTTCTGGAGAACTCCCAGCATCATACTCCTAAGATGTTGCTGTGTCCGATAGAATCTGAATAAATGATACTGAAAACCGACAAGTTTATAAGTGTGAAACTTGTGCAACATCTGGGTATTTTTATTCTGGAAACATTTATTAACTTGTCAGTTTTCTAAGTCATTTCCTGAAATTAGATCAGACTCTTCAACCTCAGACATTGCAACATCAGACTTTGCCTGACTAATAGGCACCACTGGTAACTCTGCCTACCACTGTTCCAGCTCATCTGCTTGCAGTACATAAGCTCCATCCCTGCGAGTATGCTGCACATTTATCAAAACTGAAGGATTGAATGTATCAACTCAAGGCTAAGGAGTGCAAGAAAGGTATAAAATACCGACAATATGAAAGTTAAGACACATGTGCAAAATCTGGAAATCTTTATTGTAGACGTTTCGCCATCCACTGGATGGCGAAACGTCTACAATAAAGATTTCCAGATGTTGCACATGTGTCTTAACTTTCAAGGCTAAGGAACTGAATATCTCAAACTCCTGCTCGTCTTACATCGTTCTCTTCATGAACTGAAGAAGCCTCTGGTTTACGAAACGTTTGCAGGATAAACATACCCAAATGTTGCACATGTGTCTCATTTAACAACTTGTTGGTTTTCTAAAACTATTGTCGGTATTATATACATTAATGTACACCTGGTCAGATACAGCAATCTCGTGTAATCTTAGTTCAGAAAACATCTCCAAAACTACTTACAACCACTGGCTCATCTCTAGGCATGACCTATTTCCACGGGGGAATTCCACCTACCAGTAATAATACCTTCATCTCATCGGACTCTGGTATATAAGCCCAGTCTTGCTGTCTGTGCTTCAGTTTCATCAAGACGGTACTGAACACCTGCTATTATGCTGAGGGACTGAGTACCTCATCTTTTACCTCTTCAGTCTGCTGTGTTGTATTAATGAAGCTACACTGGTTTGCGAAGCGTCTATGTAATAAAAATACCCAGATGTTGCACAGTTTTCTAATTCTTCTGACTAAGGACACCAAATCTGCTCTCTGTAGGCACATAATTAATGAGGGTTTGACTGAAGAACTCAAATAGAAGATAGTAATAAACTAATGGGAAATGTTCAGCAAGATTAGAGTCTAACCAAGACAGGACAAACAGCAGTGGGTTCATGTTTGAAAACTTTACATTTAGAAAGGATATAGAAAAGCACTGGTTTCACATTAGAGCTCTGGATTGATGGAACAAACTGTTTTAAAAATTAGACACTTGTGCAACATCTGGGTATCTTCATTGTAGACGTTTCGTCATCCAGTTGCTTTATCAATGCATAATCAAGGACATAACTGAAAGACAGTAGAACAATATAAAAAGATGAGGTAATCAGTCCCTCAGCCTTGGAGTTGGTGCGAAGAGCATCGTTGTCATGAAGAAACTGGAGCACAGGCAAGAAGGCTAGCGCTTATTTACTGGCGTCAGATGGTAAGGGATGTGTAGTAGTCGAAGACATTCATTGGTAGGTGGGAGTCCCTAGTGGAGGTAAATCATACCTGAGGGACGGGTTAGTAATAGTAGTAGTAGTAGTCGTGAAGAAGGTTGTGAAGATGTCCTCTGAATCAAGATTCTATGATGTTGCAGTGTCTGACAGATTGTACATGATTGGTATACAATACCAACAAGATGAAAATGTTTATCTTCTTGGTATTGTACTACATTCATGTACAAACTCTAGTAAGAGTCACTGAATGAGGAACCTATGGCACCTTTAAGTATTGGTTGGACCAATAGGGTGAAAGCTGCACCTGCCTACATGGGTCTGTAGGCCTGCTACAGTGCTCCTCCTTTCTTGTATTCTTATCTCTAGATGTTTCCTCAGGTATATTCGGGCCAATGCTTGGTCTCATTGCCATGTGTTTCGTCAACTGCGACGAGAAGCTGGCTATGGGAGTATTGTGTGTGGCAGTCGGGCTCAACGGGGCCGTCTACAGTGGCTATATGTCCTCCCATCAGGACCTCTCCCCTAACTTAGCAGGTTCCCTCTTAGGACTCACCAACACAGTGGCAACTATACCTGGATTCGTCTCACCAGTGGTCACCGGCAGCATTACTGATGGCAACGTGAGTCGTGTGTATATGTGATTAATTATTTATAGTTACAGAAACAAGTGGTATAATCTTGTCTTCAAATTTTAATTTGTTATATGGATGTTTTAATGAATAATGCTTTAGGAGTTTTTATTCAGTTCATTCGTATCGTTTTCCAACCTTATGCTGTTGTATAGTCTTGTTGTCCATGCCAGTAACGAAAAGAAATATTTCTAGTAAGCAAATTTCTAGTCAAGACTCTACACACAACTCTTTGACTGACGAGTCCGCTCCCCAATTTCTGCTCACATTTACTACATCCATTCTGATTTCTAGTCTTTCATCCCCTAGAGAGTTCGTTATTCACCTCAACTTGTTCTTTCTTGTGTACTCATGCAATTTCCTTCTTTTATAAACCTTTTCAAATTCCTCCATCAACATTAGAAACTTCTCTTAAGATTCTCCCATAAGAACAGTGTCATCAGGAAAAAGCAACTGCGACAACTTCTACTTTGCATTAAATCCGTTATCTTTTCATCCCACATCTCTCCCCAGCATCACAGTGTTCATTTCATTTACAGTCCTATCAATAAATATGTAAGAAAAACATTGGTAACATCGAACATCATGTAAGACCCTCTTTCACAGGAAAATAATCATCTCATTCGTACATAACCCTAACCTAAGATTCACCATCCACACAAAAACTTGTTACTTCTTTTAGCAACCTACAACCTTTTCCTGTCTTTGTCCTCTCTACATTCTCAATTAAAACATATGTTCTCTTTGCATTTCCTGCAACTTTTCTTCAGTATCTACAGCTCTGTCATATAATTCCATTTCTCATTCCACTTCACACAGAAAATTTCATGTGCTATCAAGTCCACTTTTATATACGTCCCCATTTTTTATTCTCACTACCCTTTACAGCAGGTACGCAAAGCTTATGTACAGTTCAGGTAATTTTTTGAGGAAACGTTTTGCCACGAGTGGCCTCTTCAGTCCTAATGCTTATCCAATTGTAGATATTTTATACCACTGTCATATTCACACACTGCAACGTAACGGTATCTTGGTACAGAGGATATCTTTGATATCTTTTTTTCCCTAACCACTAATTACAAGTGAGAAGGGTTGGATTAAACAGCGACCTACCCAGTACGTTTGCTACCCAGCCACTCTACTGTCCTGCCGTCAGACATATGCGCCGCACCTTTGACAATTTATTAGTCTCTATTCTGTTACTTCAGTATCACATTGTTCCACACTATGATGGAGAACGCTTCTCCAGGCTGAGGGACTGACCACCTCATAACTACGTCATGAAAGGTGGTGGATTGATTACATCGTCTTTACATATCTTCTGCTTCTGCTGCCACCTCTATATTCTACTGAAGAAGCATACTGTGTAGGCGAAACGTTTCGGAATAGTTACCTAACAATAGAGATAACTAAGAATGAGTTTATATAGTGATTAAATCACCTCTTCTCTGTGAATGTCCTGCACTTTTACCAAGATTAATGGACTCAACATGTCGACTTCAGACTGACGGACTGATTACTTCAAATTCCTTATCGTCCACCGTTTCTCTGCATTTGACTGAAGAAGCCACTGGCTGGCGAAACGTTACTAAAATGAAGATTCCCAAGCGTTGCATAAGTGTTATATCCACCATCTTGTAAGTTTTCTAAAACATTTACTCAAAGAAGCATCAAACCTGGAACCTGCACTACCCAGAAAGCTCCGCTAAGTCATGGCAGCATGGAAAACCCCAGTTGTCCAGCCTCCAGCATCAGGTACAGCACCGACCACTGAGCAGCAGCCTCGTCCAGAAGAGGCTGCTGCTCAGTGGTGAGTGCCCCCTGAGCAATCAAATGAAGTTGACAATCACTTGCTTCACCGAGGTCATATGTGACCTAATAGACTCAGCAGAAAACAAAGAGACATTCAGAACTATTGTGAAGATCATCATTATATTCGTTTTGGACAATGCAGACTACATCCATTATATTTGCAAATGTACCCGACCACCCAAACCTAAACAAGGGGGGTTGCCTGATGGCCTCAGTTCACTCTACTACCTTAAATGCTTTGCAGTAGAACATACAGGGACAATAGGCACAAAATAATTGAATTAGATCGACATCTTCACATGTAAAGGCGTCATAGCTATCAACTTCAGATCCTCAGAAACGTCTCTTTCTAGATCTCACATGGGTCATATTAGACTAAAATCCGTACCAGGAAAGCAGTTTATGACGAATCAGTCAATCAATTAAATTTAAGTTCATTACTTTTGAAGTATTCTTTTAAAGTCTCGCATATTGCATCAACATTGCCATCATACAGTTCAGTTAAATCTAAATAAGTAACCACAGTTTGTCTCAGAATAATACATAATGTTTTAGTTACAGAAATATCATTCCTTTTATATATTAATAAGCTGAATTTACTATTTCCAATATCAGCTTTCAAGTTATCAGTATAATATGGTGTCAGTACATCGTACATAACTGTTCTACATTATGTCCTCCCGAGCCTAAGGGTTCTATATTCAGAACTGTTTGCAAAATGTTCTTTGCAGATTCACTTACGTGATCACTTACTCATAATGAACAATGTTCAACAATGAACAAAGTTGTATTTTTCTCTGTTCTTATATCATCGCTAAGTCTTTCAGACCGAAGCGCCCAGGACAAGCTATTTAGAGTTCATAAAATTGAAGTTAAAAATTTTTGGAATTCTAGGTTTTCTTACCAAAAAATAGTGCAAAATTCTGGCAATATGTTGATGCAATCAGCTTGTTTCTATCATATTTCTAAGTATGTTTTTTCAAAAATGTAATTTTTATGTTTTTGCTGTCATCAAGAGGACATGTTGGCAATTAGTGTTTTTATTGTTTTTGTTTTTACTCGAGAAATTACTATTATTTCATTCTAAATTACTGATAATTTCATTCTAAACAAGTTCTGTGATGACTAAAGTGAAGAGCACAGAGTTGTTGCTGCTTAGTTGCCTCTGGGTGATCAACAATGATAGGGGTTTGCAACACGCTCACTCTGGGTGATCAACAATGATAGGGGTTTGCAACACGCTCACTCTGGATGTGTATCAACAATTGACAGGGGTTTGCAACATGCTCACTCTGGGTTATAAACAATGACAGGGGTTTGCAACACGCTCACTCTGGGTGATCAACAATGACAGGGGTTTGCAACACGCTCACTCTGGGTGATCAACAATGACAGGGGTTTGCAACACGCTCACTCTGGGTGATCAACAATGACAGGGGTTTGCAACACGCTCACTCTGGTGATCAACAATGATAGGGTTTGCAACACGCTCAAATTTGGTGTTTAATCTACATAGAGTTTTATAGAAACAAAAATTTGAATAACTCAGGAATAAGTTATTGACATTTGTTTTACTGATTTGCAAAGAGTAATAATAGGAGTGACGTGATTTTTTCACACAATATTGATGAATGATGATTCTATTAGTATTCAAAGATATTTTGCAATATGTTTTACCATTTTGTTTTTATTGACTCTTATTCTCACAAAAAATTCCCCCAAAAAAAAAAATCAAAATTTTTATAATGCAATCTATTGACATTTCTCGCAAAAAAGTTTGAAATTTAGATGACCTAACTCTTTATCTTTCATCTGATGTTGACTAGAACATTGTACAACTTAACAATTTTGTAGGGTAGGGAGGGTTTTATGATCAATACAATTTTGCAATATCTTACAACTTTGCAACAAGAAGTCCATGCAAACATGTGTATAGGATGCAAACTGCTCCTTAACAACAGCATAAAGTTACACTTGAAATTGGACCAAACACAACAAAGACACAAAATCTGCTCGCTGGACCCCTTGAGTTTCTCGATGTACTTAACTGTTCTTCCATTTTCTTGTGCTCGGCAGTATTATTTTAGCTGCAAGTGAACTTACAAAAACGTTTTGTATCATCGTCCTCTACTTTCCTTAACAATTTTTGGTATTTCAAGTTACTGAGTAACTGGACACTAAATGCTGAATATATTTTTTGCTCATAATAAAGAGTAAGAGAAAATAAAGCGACAATAATAGTAATGTTAACAGATAACATAAGGGAGGGCCTAAACAAAAGCCAAACGGGTGTAATGGATATGTCAGAGAGTCTGTCAGACTGTCAGAGAGTCTGTCAGACTGTCAGAGAGTCTGTCAGACTGTCAGAGAGTCTGTCAGACTGTCAGAGACGTCCTGTCAGACTGTCAGAGAGTCTGTCAGACTGTCAGAGAGTCTGTCAGACTGTCAGAGAGTCTGTCAGACTGTCAGAGAGTCTGTCAGACTGTCAGAGAGTCTGTCAGATTGTCAGAGAGTCTGTCAGACTGTCAGAGAGTCTGTCAGACTGTCAAAGAGTCTGTCAGCAGAGAGTCTGTCAGACTGTCAGAGAGTCTGTCAGACTGTCAGAGAGTCTGTCAGATTGTCAGAAAGTCTGTCAGTCAGTCATAGGTTCACAGCCCAGGACATTATCACTCACGTCAGGTGAGTCTCGACAAAACGTGATCTGGACCTGTCAAACCTGAGCTTCACAAAGCTGCTTAGTGAGATTCATTATTAAGCTTATTTTTTCCATACTTTTATTTTGGCTTTTGTTTATTACATAGATATTCAGCTAGGTTTCGGGAAAAAAAAATTAATGCGAAAACGTACGAGATTTCGCGCTATAGCATCTCAAAAAACTAAAAAAAAAAAAAAAAAAAAAAAAAACGCGTCCCCACAATTTTGTAAAAAAAAGAAAAAAAAATCACTCTAATATGAAAAGAGACGGAAAATGCTAAGTTGGCGACCTGCCAGCGACTGCTCCCAAGTGATGCTAATGACGTCACTCACCTGTCCAACTGGCCATGTCTAATACACGTCTCTTAAGTGCTGACGATTTTTAAACATTTATGGAGCACTTTTTTCGCCACAATATTTACACCTTAAATATACATGTTAATGGTGAAACCTGCATAACATAATTCTTAAATTTAAGAATTTTTTTTTCCCATCATTTTCTCTTTCCATATTTCAACATTTGATAATACTACTGTCCGCTCCTTAGCTAGAGTTCTCCTCACTGAAATTCTTCCATTTTTCTTAACTAATATTAGCCTTGTGCTAGACAATTCAACATCCTTTGATTCATAACATTACCAATCATTTTTACCTTCTCTTGTGCACTACACCGACGCACATTCAAACAACTTTCTTTTCTCTTTTAGTAATTTATATACAAGGAATTACTAGTCCTTTACTCCTGTTATTTTTGGTTTCCTTTACCTAGGTATAAGTAATAGTAGCAAAATATTCCCGTTATCTCACGTGTTTATAAAACAGAGAAAAGACATCAGCAGTCCTACTAGACCCAACCAGGGACTGATCACCCCATATTAACCTCTCCACTTCTTTTGCTGTGTTCATTTTTCAAACCATCTCTGTCTACGAGTGAAGAAGCTTGCTAAAGAGGCAAACATTTCGACAATAAAAACACTCAACTATTACCAGTATCATAAGATACTTATATACTCTGCCAGGCACTTCCAAACTCTACTGATCACTTGCACCAGGCCCGGTGGCCTGGTGGCTAAAGCTCTCGCTTCACACACGGAGGGCCCGGGTTCGATTCCCGGCGGGTGGAAACATTTCGACACGTTTCCTTACACCTGTTGTCCTGTTCACCTAGCAGCAAATAGGTACCTGGGTGTAAGTCGACTGGTGTGGGTCGCATCCTGGGGGACAAGATTGAGGACCCCAATGGAAATAAGTTAGACAGTCCTCGATGACGCACTGACTTTCTTGGGTTATCCTGGGTGGCTAACCATCCGAGGTTAAAAATCCGAACGAAATCTTCTCTTATCTCACTACCAAATATTCCAACTCCACCAAACTCTCACACGCCAATGAATCCTTCCTAATTTTACAAAACACTCATATTCGCTCTGCCAGAGTTTTCTTGTCCAATTTCAATATTATTACCCATCCTTCAGGAAACAGTGAGTGCCTGGAGGACCGTCTTCCTCATCTCGGCAGGAACGTATCTGGTCACAAACACCTTCTATTTGGTCTTCATCTCTGCTGACGTCCAGCCGTGGAATGAACAACAGCCCAAAAAGGTCCCGGACCAGAATTACGAACCCCGTAGTGTGGTCCTGGAACAGGAGGATGGCAAGTTTTTTCTGTTTTGTTACACTGCATTTACTCTCCTTCATCTATTCTTCACTAACTATGGAGAAGCTCTCTTATCCTAATTTAGTATCAACACATTCTTTCCATTTTTTCTACATCAACCTTCTATTCAATCTTTGTCAACACTTTTTCTTTGCCTCCTTTACTCCTCCTTCTGATAATACTGACTCTCCCTTCTTTACTCCCTCCGTCAACACGGATTCTTTCTTTTTTACCCCCTCTGTCAACACTGGTGTTCTCCTCACTCTCTTCTCTCTCTGCTGAAAAAAGTGCAACGTTGTTTGATTAGGATAGTAGCAAAATATTTACTTGTAACTTTCTACTCTCTGCATTAACAGGTCTTTTTTCCCTGAGCAGAAATATTGATAAGACATGAAAGTGAGAAATCATGGAGTAACAAAATATACACAGCCAGGAACAACACAGTATATGCTTAAGAAGCTTCCGCTATTTGAAGAAACTAGATGAATTTGGAATGGTTTCAGATGTGATATTAATAATAAATGCACACAGATTATTGAAAAGCTTTTGATATTTGGGATTATGATGTAAATGAACATAAAAATGGAAAATAAATTTTCAACTTTATAAATCTGATACTCACAAAAAAAAAAAAAAAAAAAATTCTAAGGTCTCTTCCCATTCTCACAGCAGACACTAACATAATAATAATACCCTAACACCTTTCATATATAAAAGAAAGTCTTCTAATCATTTACAAAATCTATTATTTATTTGAAGATGACAAATTAAACAGTTCCATTGTAGAGATATTCATGAAACAGAACAGGAAGAGGATATAACGTTCGGTATAAGTTTCTAATGCTGTTAAATTTCGGTGTTGAAGATTTGAAAACAATTAGAAGGGCATCCACAAGTTATTTCAGGAAATCTAATACAGTGGAACCACAGCTAACGAGTTTAATCCGTTCCGTGACCTCGCTCGTATCCCGATCTGCTCGTATGCTGAGTCAGTTTTCCTCATTTAAATTAATTGAAATGCCATTAATCCATTCCAGCGGAATGGAATAATGTCATTCAATTAATTTAATATTAGCATTAATGACATTTCAATTAATTTGATATTAGCGTCATATTCCTGCTCTCAGGAGGCAGGAATATGACGCTAATATTAACTGTACAGGTTATTTATGTATCACAATTAATCTAATATGACATAATAAACAATATAAATAAAATAGAAACCTGATATATACTCTTGAATGAATAAAATGTATCATTACATGACAATGATGGCGGCCATTACCTACCTTGTTGAGGGTCAACTGGGGAGACCTCCCGCCATTCCCCGACACTCACGACACCACAATCCCAGCTTATGTGTTCAGTTCCACTTCTCTCCTACAAGCTAGCTGTGTTTGTGAATTGTGTTTTGATCTTTTAATTACCATATCTTGTATCTGCCAAGCAATCATGACACCCAGTAGGCATACTAGTGTTGCTGAATGACTTACTGACTTGACTGAATGACTTACTGACTTGATTGACTGACTTACTGACTTGACTGACTTGCTGACTTGACTGATTGAATTACTGACTTGACTTACTGATTTGACTGACTGACTGACTACTTTACTGACTTGATGACTGACTTACTGACTTGACTGATTGAATTACTGACTTAACTGACTAGCTTACTGACTTGACTGACTGACTTACTGAGTTGATTGACTGAATGACTTGACTGAATGACTTGACTGACTGACTGACTGACTGAATGACTTTAAGTTAGACCTTTTCACCGAAGAGGACCCTGAAATGGTGTCAAGGGCAGCTGATGCCTTACCATCAGTTGTATAATGCACTGCGGGGTAAAAATAGAACAGAAATCCATTACTGAATTTATGCACACTCCAGTACAACCATCGACTTCAGTACCAGAACCTCAATCATCCATCTCAGCCAAGTAGGGCCACAGCACAACTCTCCACTCTCCTCACAATCATCGACAAACACCAGCACCCACAATTTAAGGTAAGAAATACTATCATATCAGTTATAGACTTAAGCAGTAAAAACAATATAATGCTTCACAAAAATGAACTTCAATTATATATTCACTTTTACTTTTATAAGATCTGGAGGTCTAAAAAATGTTGTTTGAGGGGGAAACTCGCATCCTGAAATTTTGCTCGTATACAGAAACAAAAAATCGACCGAGCGACTGCTCGTATCCTGAAAAACTCGTATGGGGGGGGCACTCGTAAGCCGAGGTTCCACTATATCTTTATTTCTTCACTATAAACAGAAAACTGACACAAACACAGCTCAAAACCAATGGTAATCTTCAATTCTCAGAACCCAGCATTGAAAACTTAAAATTAATGAGAAGAAGCACTTTTTTATTATGGCTCGGAGATCATTATACACAAAAACACCAACATTTTGAAGATTTCAAGGATCATTTATTCATTCACAAATGGTTGCATGAAAACCATTACTGCAATTTTCTCAATTTCCTCGAAACAATTGACAAATTGTCATCTACTCAACCCAAAATTAATCAAAGCATACAAATTATTAGGACACACCGGTGATTAATGTATAAAACTGATCACAAGAGGCAGTGTCGCATCTCTGCATGGAAACTTATTAAAATTGATAAATTGAAACATTCACAACCCAGAATCAGTGCTTACCTTTTTTGATAAGAAAAAAAAAACTGCTACAAGATTAAAGCTGTTTAGGAAGATATTCTCTGATTTTTCACAAAATTAAATAATTTCGAGTTTTTTAGCAAAATGAGCAAATTTTTAATGTTTTACGTACACAGCTCTAAACCCAAATGTTTTATTATTTTCAAAAGATGAAACAGCTATTAAAGGCACATTCATATTATTATTTTATTTTTATTATTAGCACATCTGCCGTTTCCAATGGAGGCAGAGTGACCAGTAAAGAAGAAACACTTTCATCATCATTCACTTCAACACTGTCTTGCCAGAGGAGCACCTACACTACAGTTAAAAATAAACTGCTATTCAGCAACATCCCTCATTCAGTGCTCAGGTTCTGTAATTTCCACCTCCAGGAATCAAGTCCGTCTAACTGGTTTCATTGAATCCCTTCATAAACATTAATTTACTCGCATTCTAACAGCACATTAAGTAATAATAACCATATGCTTCGAACCGCTCCTATCTTACACACTCATGCACATTTGTCTGAAGTCCAAGCCCCTTGCACACAAAACCTCCCACACTCACTAAAAATAACAGACATAGCCCCACTCTACAAAAGTGGCAGTAAAACAACTGCACAGAACTACAGACCAATAACACTAACATTTCATACCATAAAAATCTTTGAACGGGTTCTAAGAAGCAAGATCACCAACCACCTAGATACCCATTAGTTACACAACCCAGGGCAACACGGGTTTAGAGCAAGTCTCTCCTGCCTGTCTCAGCAATTTTACTACTATGACATGGCCCTGGATGCTATAGAGGATAAACAAAATGCAGATATAGTGTTCAAAGGCTTTGTGAAAGCCTTCGGCAAGTGCGACCACTGAGCAATAGCGCACAAAATGCGTGAAAAGTTTGTAGATGGATCCGTAACTTCCTTACAGAACACAAAGGGTAATAGTAAACAGAGTAAAGTCTGAGGTGGCTACGGTGAAAAGCTCTGCTCCACAGGGCATTGTACTTGCTTCCATCCTATTTCTCATCCTGATATCTGACATAGACAGAGATGTAAGCCATAGCTCCATGTCTTCCTTTTGTGGATGACACCTGAATTGCCATGCCAGTGTCCTCCATCGAAGACACCTCAGGACTCCAAGCGGACATCAACCAAATATTCAAATGGGCCACTCAAAACAATATGAAGTTCCATGAAGAGAAATTTCAAAACTGTATCAGGGTATACAGCAAATTCTAACCATACAATAGAGAGAAAAAGTAATGTGAAGGACCTGGAAGTAATAATGTCAAAGGATCTCACCTTCAAAGACCACAACAATGTATCTACCACATCTAAAAATATGATAGGATGGATAATGAGAACCTTCAAAACTAGGGACGCTAAGCCCATGATGATTCTCTTCAAATTGCTTGTTCTCTCTAGGCTGCAATGCTGCTGTACACTAACTTCAAGGCAGGCGAAATTGCTGACCTAGAAAGTGTACCAAGAACTTTCACAGCACACATAAATACGATAAAGCACCTAAATTACTGGAACAGTTGAAGTCCCTTGATTTGTATTCCCTGGAATGCAGGCGAGAAAGATGCACGATAATAAACACTTGTTAAATCATAGAGGGACTAGTACCAAACTTGTACACGAAAATCATTCCCTATGAAAACAAAAGACTCGGCTAGATACTAGATACTAGATACTAGATACTAGAAGCTAGATACAGCGATTGATAAACAAGGGTGGAGGCTCGACCGTTCGTCATTGTAGGAGTGCCAGCAGTCACCGGCTCTTCAACACGCAAGTTATACTTTTGTATCAATCAAATCACATATTACTCGGGTAGATAATTTCCAGTAGATCCTTCATGTGTTAGCTCAAATCACCGACCAGTATGGTTTAAATAAGTGACCCACTGATCAGATCAGATAGACTGGTCCGAACCCTTGACTGGTCCGAACCCTTGACTGGTCCGAACCCTTGACTGGTCCGAACCCTTGACTGGTCCGAACCCTGGACTGGTTTCAAACGGTTTCGTTGTGCACCACCTAGCAGGTTATTAATAGAATATTCAAGAGGTTGCTAGTAGAATTGCAGTAATCAACCATTCAAATCATTATGAAGCTGTGTGTAGTCTGTGGTCAGTCAAACAAACGGGCTTCCACATGCATAAATTGTCATTTCTGTGGAAATTGGTGTCACGCCCCTTGTGCAGATATCCAAGAACTAGCTACAAGCAGTATTAAAACAGGGAAGTGTTTTTGGGTATGCCCAAATGAGATAAATCTGTGGACTAAAATCACAAGGGTATTAAAAGAGGT